CATAGCACCAACTAATCAATAATTCCCCACGGCAAAATTAAATCTAATTTTAGCTGCACACGCTGATTGCCAAAGGCCAAGCCATTTTCACTATGATGAATTAGGTAATGCGATTCTACCAAAGACAAACGTCTGCCAAACAGTATATGTAATTTATATGTAATTCTTGTGATAAACATAACGATGCTTTAAGCCAGGGGTTGTCGACCTTTAAGAAGGGGTGTGTGGTGAGTTAGTTCTTGCACTTGGTTTTGGAGACTTGTATGTCATTGACACTATTTTAATGTCAATAATAGTCTGACATATTTTTTGATTAATGAAACACTTAACATTAAAATATAAGGATATCTAAAATTATAGTGTGATCCTTGCATTTGCTTTCCCTTGCTGAGTTCTTCAATCTCAGGCTCATAGCTTGACACTTTAAGCAGCACCCAAGCCTCTGAGTGTTCAGTTAACTTGCTACAGGAGGGGCAGAGAACTGACTCTATGAGTGAAAATACCTGTTCACACAAAGGTATAGTTCACAGATTCCAAAACTTCCATAAGTCTGAGCACTATAATTAGCTGCATTTCAAAATCCTCTACACACCAATCTGTTGAAACACTTCAAAATTCATGTTGCTGGTATCAAAGCTGTTCGGTTTAATCAGAAACGAAGATTGGGCCGAAACATTGGAAATTCTTAAATTTGACAACTAATTCTTCACATTTAATCCAGTCCAAAACAGCAAAAAACAAGACAAAAAAAAACATTTTGTCTATTCATATAACAATAGCACTGTCCTCAATTTTGGAAAACAGTGCCACTCTTTTAGAGAGGTACAAGGTTCACGTGAGCATCTAAGACTTGGACTGCAAATCCTTCTTTTTCCAAAACATTTGCCAATGTGTACTAATTTGGCTTAGGGAATTTGAAAGGAGGGAAGGAAGGATGCACACTGACAGATGGAAGAGGGAGAAGAGTGGGATTTGACTTACAAGATGTTTCTAAGCACGAACTGTCTGACTCTTCATCTTATTTTTTGTGAGCAACATGCAGAGTATGCATTTTGGAAATGGCAGAGAACAGTGATTTATTTTGATTTATTTGCATCTTACTAATCAGTTCTGTTTCCTTTTCTTATCTCTTAAGTTCACTTTGAAGAAGAAGAGGGATAGAGTGAATGGAAATGACTTATTTTTTTATTTTATTTTGCTTGAAATGGGGTCGGGGATGTACAAAGCTTAAAAAAACACAGGCAGAATAAGAACGACTGTAATTGGTAGGGATTTGTTGATGGGGTTGTAGGTTTCAATCAGCTTATGCGTAAACTGAGCTATGCAATGAATGAGTATTGCCATTTTTTTCATTTTTCAGTTTTAGTAACTATTTCATATTTTGTGGAATATTTATGCATTCAGTCTACATGTGAAACATGTGCAAATCTCAAAGCACTCATTGCTCTCTGACTGCCAGCCACCCGTTCTGACAACTACACTGAACCGGGCTGTTGTTGAGTCAATTAAAAACTATGTCAGGTATGAAGAAAAAAATGTCCAATCAAATGAATCAGGGGCACTTTTTGCAATCTCCACTGAGTTTCATGCAAAATGGGGCAATAATATCTTAATGTTTCCTTTGTGGTGAAATATGTTGCAATTTCCTCTTTAAAACGTGTAGCAATTCAGCCTAAGACTGTCAGTGTTCAACTTGGACTAAAGCATAACCTATTATTATTATTATTTATTTTCTACTTGGGTATAAGATGAAGGAATTTCCTTTTTTTAGAGTGTACAAGAGCAAAAAAACCCTCTGTGATTAAAATGACTTCTTTGTATACACTTCACTATGTAATATTTTTTGTTGTAACCTGACACGATCTTAAATTACATACAGTATGGTGCTGCTTTTATTTAGATAACCAACTTGAAGGAGATGACTTAGGTTAAGTCTAGTCATAAATCGAGTAAAAGAAAAACATTCCAACGAAGCAGTCTCTTCCATGCATTTACTGAGGATATAAATAACATGCTGAGGGAGGCAGTACCAAGACAAAAACTAGGTCAGTATTAAGTTAAGAATGTATGGTAAATGTACAGTATCGGTATTTTTTTCTTTCCAGCTACAATATTGGTAACTTACTATGTACCTACAGGATAGTAACCACTAACCAAAAAATGCCACTGGAAACTATAGACCCATGCTTGAGTCCAAAGCTTATTTTAAACAATGGAAATTTTTGTCAGAGGAAATCTGTATAAGGGTATACATTTAACTTAGAAGATAAAAATGTACTAGCAAACTTGCTGTGTTTCTTTACCTCTAACAAGTGGCTAGTGGGTTGTAGAAGACAGTTTTCCAGTATAAAGATGTAATTTAAGAGTAATATGAACTGTTAAAAAGCACTAATATAGTATTAACACAATTTTTTTTTATGCTGAAGCAGGCTTAAAAATGTTTATCTGATAATAATCCTAACTTTATTAGATGAGTCCATGCTTTTTAGGACAACATAGGCATAAAATCGGAATTGAAAAGCAGCATCCAATATTTGCCTAATTGAGCTGTTGTCCTCTTCTTGTTGGAATAGTTATTAAATAACTAAAAAATCAATCGTCTTGTTCCATAAAGTACCAATAACCTTATTCTCACATATTTAATGATTTATACCAGCAATCCGAACCAATGTTTAGTTAATAATGAAACTTTGCCATCAGATGTGACATTACTAATGTAGTATGCTGTGGTTATGCAAAATAAATAGAAATCAAGATATTTCTCTCTTTACTGGCGTATGCTTATTTTCACCTTTGGAAAGTACACTACTGCCACCTGGTGGTAAAAACAAATCAAACGACCTTGAGAAATGCCGTTTTAAAGAAGAGAGTTCTGATTTTTAAAATAACTAGACTTGTAATATTGTAATTTTTCAACAGTTTAGTTCATAATGTTTCATGCTTTTGCATTGTCAACAAATTCAAATTTCTTCATTTGCATTGTCAACAAATTCAAATTTCTTCATGTTAGCTTATTGTATCTGTGGAAGTCTATACAATTTTTCAGAGATAGCACATGAACTTAACATCAGTTTCATTCTTCTATTTTCGAGTCCATTATCCAATTCAGGTTCACGAGCAATCTCTGCAAGCAATGGGTGTGGGGCGATATACATCTTGGATGGTTAGCCAATCAATTTCAGGGCACACACAGACACATGTACAGTACATACTCTCACATTTCCAAAAGCAAATTAAACTACTGTACCAGTACTTTCTGTCTCTGGACTGTAGGAGAATCCTGGAGCACCCAGCAGAAACTCATGCAAGAATAGGGAGAACACACAAACTCCACACAGATAACACCCCAGGAATTGAACCCAGGGCCCCAGCATTGCAAGGTAGCGATAACCAGCACCACTGTGCCACCCATGAAGGATAGTATCTTTAGATCAATTACTTACTAAAAGCCAAACAAGCTAGACGGGCCTTAATTGCTTATTTTCTTATGTAAAACTTCAATCAGGTCTGTCTAAGGAAAAGATCATCCATGTTAAACGGAATTAAACAAATGAAATAAAAACATCGAACAACACAGACATTACACAAGGAAAAGTCTACATATAGATAAATCTTCAGCCTTTATCAATGCATTTCAGCTGAAGGTCTCTCAGACGTCTTCCACATATTGCCATCTCTGGATGTTCTGACACAATTTACTCCTGAAAATTTTCTAACAAGCCTGAGACTGAAGAGCTCAGCAAGGGAAAGCAAGGGCATATGAATTGATTCATTTTATATTTGATTATAGTTTATTAATCAAAGTATAACTAGGGCTATTATTGACATTAAATGAAGCAAATTCGTAAAAACAAGTGCATGAGCTTACTCTTGACATGCTCCTTCTGGAAGGTTGCTGACCCCTGGTCTAGTCCATTGTCATTGTAATGTACCGTATATATATAATTACTGTGCATCCTGTAACATAGCCATTTCCTTCTGGGCCTGCATGATGTGCACTGTTCCAAATAAAAAACTCAAAGTTTGTTAATTGACAACATTGATTTGTGTTTCACTGTTCCTTCTGTCATTATGCTGTGTTTGATAAATGTCCCATTACGCATTTTGCCTAATAACGTTGTCAGATAATCTCAGTACAAATCCCTTCTGAAATGATTTGTCCAGCATACAGTATATCAATATACTGGGTAGGGAAGAGGTAGTCTGTCCAGGTAGTGGACATTTAACACATTTTCAGAAAGAAACCAAAAACAAACAGTACCACCATTTAGCTTCACTTTCATAAGAGACCAAATACAAAACTTGTATTATATTGAAGCTGGAGCTCGTTTTGAAATTCTCTTTACTCTGTATTATCCCACAAAAAAAAGCCTTTTTATTTTTTGGCTGCTTTGGAGAGTCTCTGTGGATTTGTTTTGTTGTTGTGATTCAGTAGGTTCGCGGAAAATATCCTTTTAGCGTATCCACCAAAGAAAAAACATTCACATCAAATGGCTTATGCAGAAAAATTAAATCCCCATCCAAGTATTAAGTTACAATGCGTATTGCAAATTTACACAAATATACCGCATGTAAACTTTAATCAATTCAATTTGTAAAGCAGGTATACAGATTTAATATATTTTTATCACCTCTGCTGAAAGAAGACCATCAATAAAGTGATTTGAAGGGTCTTAGATTAGAGACAGGATACAATAGGTTTTTGTATCCTTCAGGCCTACTGAACCATATGTATGAACAGAACAAAACATTCTGTACTATATAAGAGGAAAAGCCTGAGCATACTCCTGATTGAAGTATCAGGTTTACTTGTATCTATTTGTCAAAGTGTTCAGAAGATGCCTTCAGGGTCACCAAATGTAGGTGTTTGTTCTTTTGACTTGTATCTTTTTTCAGACCTGCGAAGAGTTTGGGGGCTGATTTCTGAGAGATAAAAGTTTTCGGCATACAGCAAACCCATGGCCACAACAGGGCTGTACAGTGACAAAAAGACGAGCTTCTCATGTTCCATTTTTTTTTTATTTTATCCCGTAAAACTCCACAGGCAATTACAATGTGAGAGCAAGGAGGGGGGAAAGTAGCCATGAGGAATATTCAATTGCAGTTTTAACTGCTGTGAAACTGAACTGTCTATATCAATACAGACTGCAAGCAAAGAAGAGACTTTGAAATTTGGGTGAAAGAAATCTCCTGTGTTTCCTCTAACAGTCTCACTTTAACTGTGGCTGCTTAAATTGCAGTGATGATTAAATTTTAGCCTGCAAAAATTTACATTAGTATGTTAGTTTAAAAAGAACGCTTATGAAGCTGCAAGTGGTGGAACAGCCTGATTTTTTTTTTTATTGATTTTGGAGAGGAAGCATACTGTATGTGTAACTCTGGTTTGACACATCTCCTCAACCTGAAGAGGTCTTGCGGACGGTGGCATCACCCAACCAGTCTCTGCGTCACCACTTCTCTGTACATGATGGAGATATAGATGAAGAGCAGCAGAATGACAAACAGGTCATCCATGAATCCCAGGATTCCAAAGAGCGCCTCGGGAATGAAGTCCAGTGGAGAGGCAAGGTAGGTCAAAGCTCCGATCAGGCAGAGCAAGATCCGGATCCGGAACATCCAGAAGAGTCCTCCTACGGAGAACATCTCCCTGAAGGCATGACGCAGAAGCGTGGGAACATCTCTGATACGGTCCATCAGCTACAACAGAACACATCTTTAGAGCTTAAGCCAGTGTGACAAGAACAGACTGTTAATAAGGAATCCATGCATTTCCACGGATCTGGCCTCTGAAAGGGGCTACTCCGTTCACATATTGGCATGATGGGCAAAATAAACACTGCCCACAACTTTTTTACGTGCTCTTATTTCAAGTTCAATCTTCATGCTGACTCTGTTAGAGACATGACATATCTAATAAATATCCTATACGCTGACTTATACACTGACTGAACAGGTATTGGGGGCTTTTATTTCTCCTGAATAATTCATTTTTTTCACTAAATTATTTTTTTATCAAACTTGCAGTCTTAAGGGACACAGAGTTGAAATGTGATGGTAAAGGAAAATGTTTACTTCTAACACAACTGGTACAATGCTATTGTTGGGACTACTGTCGACTATTCTAAAATGTGGAATTAATCTGATTAAGACTGAGGCAACATACAGTATCATATTTATGGTGGCCAAAACAATGCACAATGATTTAAACCAGGATAGCTTTTCAGTTTTCTCACAAATGTATGATATATAAGTAAATGTGCTATAATTATTGTACTATCCATCTTAAAATAAAACCAATTTTGGCTTTAAGATACTGGTTTGGTAGAAGAGTTCACATACACACCGATAACACTGAAAAGGTTTGTTTTATTTTCTGCAGCACTTATGAATGCTTGAGATTTCATATACACCACAGTATATTAACACCAGCGGATTGCTCTCTCAGTAAGTTAACAAAAAGGGGGGTTATAAATCTTACAAAATACAACAGCACAGAGCTGTCAAAAGTTTTGGGAGTTATTTGACATTTTGACGCCTTTTAAAAAAGCATTCCCTAGAATATTTCCCAAGAATAACTGTCTAACACTGCTTGCTCTTTGAAATTATCATTCGCTTATATGGTGATTTTGCTGTTTCTCTGGGGCAAGAAATGGCGCAAGAAATTGTGTTGTGAATCCTTTGCAATGATTCATTATTGTAGAGCAGGGAGAACGAAAGGTAGAATCATCTGTACTCACAGATCTGGGCTGTCCAGAAAACCTCCTGTTATAGTCATAGACATCCTGAAGTATTTGCCCTGCCTCGGGCTGCCCCTCTTGGGTTTGCGCTGGTAGATCATGCTCATGAAACAAAGGGAAGAGTAAAGTTACCTGAATCAAAAGCAGAGAGACACAGCATCAGTGACACTGCATGGCTTGCTGTCATTTCTCTTCAGCTGTTTTCCTGCTTTATAGCATGAAAAAAATATACAGTATTTATAACAGTATAACACTTAGAACAATTTCCAGAACAGGCCCGTTAGTTTGGTATGATTGAACAGTATGAGCAGATATGGTTTTCTTCTTCTTACATTTAAAACGTTATGAAATATATTTTTTTAATTTATTATTCATTTATGGAAACAAGTATTATTCTCATTTACAGTTCATTCTCATTCTGACAGCTGTCTACTGCTTATATTCTGAAATAGCACTCCATTACACACATTCAGTATAATGACTGATTTGACTATAAGGTGTGTAAATATTGTTAAGGTTTTGTAATTGGCTTGCATAGTGCCTGGACCTGATGAGTATTTGATATTCTGTATTTCATCATAATTTACATACCTGTACTTTGCACTTTTAACATGAATCAAAACTTACTTAGAACTTATGATCTGTAGTGTAAATCCAGTCACCTAATTATACAGCTGTTTAGAAAAATATTTCCCCAAAATTACAGTTACTGTACACAATGTAATGATAATAACCCTACAATGCCATTTCTCCATATCTATGTTGTTACTTGTTCAATACACCTATTTAAAGAATACAAAAATAGACACACGTGTAACCCTTCAAAAAAATCTTTAATGATTGCCATGTCAGTGACTAAACATTATAAATATTTTGATTACCAAAATGAACCTAATTAACCTAAGAACTTTTAACCCTTCCAACATTCGTGCTGCCTAGGTGCTAGCTATGAGCTCTGTTCCTCTCCACATGTTCCTGGACCATTAGAGACCATTAGAGAACAGCCTTTGTTGATGAAGTTTCAAACGTTCACGTGTCTTTTTTCAAATCTTACCATTTGTCTACAGATGGGACAATTAATAGCTCCAAGCCATGACCCATACCTCCAGTATGCAATGATGCAGGATCCTAGGAGGATGAAAGAAAAGCAATCAGAAAGTTATGTAAGCATGAATCATAGAATATGCATACTTTTAAAAAGATAAATCAAAGAATAATTATTCTATGACCTTCAAGCCAGTTCCAATAATATGAACTGAAAACATTATGCAATGATTTCAGAGCTCTAAGTGCTCAAAACTGAACTGGGCGAGCAATACCATAATTCATTCTGGTTAGTAGAGTAATATACACAATTTATTATTATTATTGCTCAAATAATGTAATTATATATAAAACTTCATATCACATATTTGTATATGAAAATTAAAATTGTGAGAAACATTTTTTTCCAAGTTCTCTATCTTCACAAAACAGATGGAGCCCTGATTCCTTGTAAGCTTTAAACTAAACTTTAGATGACAGAACTATAATCATGCTCTTCTATCTGGGGTTAGTAGAATTTTACTGGCCTTCTCTCTTGTTAAACTATAAATTAATTTATGACCTACATTTATGTTCAAAATGACACAGGTCACCAAAGTTTTCCTAAATTTAAATTCAATTGATTTAATGAAAATATAAAGACAGCTGTAAAAATCTTTTCTTCCCACACTAAAAAAAACAATGCTTTAATTGGTTCAATAGAACACTGAGCTAAATTTGGTGGTTTAACATATTAATTAACCCCCTTCAACACGTGGATAGAGCGTAGTTGTCTAAAGTAAGGATGTTTTTAGCGTGACTCACAGTAAGACAATGGCTGATAAAGGGTACAAAGTATACTAAATCGAGGTTTTGTACTGCCATTTCATTGTTTGCAGTGTACTTCCTTTAAATTAGTCATGCTAGTAAACTGGATTGAGGCATAGGGATGTGTCAGGTCTTCAGGTCACACTTCTGAGAACTTCAGCTCTAATTTTAAAAATAATATGGACATAATCAAGGAGATCTCTTACAAAACAAATTAAAGTTTCTATATACTTTTTTACCACAGACAGATTTGTTAGGATAATGACTGTTCTAAACATACAGAAATGTTAACTTTGATTTAAATGACTTAAAGGACATAACTCATTCGAAGTGATGATTTCTTTATATGGAAAATGTCATGTCAATCAATTTTAGATTTGCCATCTATAATAAAACAGTAGATCACCAGAGTAATAAAAGATGCCAGTAGACAGTAGGTTGAGAGGATTCTAGTTATATATTTAGATTTTACTATTTTAGATTTTAGATTTATTAAATTGCAACAAAATACCAAAAATAGATATGTATGTACAGTATTATGTATTGTATAAATAAAATATTATATTATTTTATTATGTTTCTTGTGCATACAGAATTAAAAAAAATTACCCACATTTTGTTTTTTTTTACCAATAAATAAAGGATGAGTCCTGTCAATCAGTGTTTAAGTCTATCTGACCTTAAAAATGAAAATACAATATCTTCTGTACAATATCTAGAACACTACACATAGCAACAGCCTACTGAAAGGAGCAGGAAACTCACTGCAGTGTGTAGGACAGCCCTCCTTTGGACATATGGTAGAATTACATGGTTAGGTTTTCTATTTTTAATGCTGTGCTGCATACTGATCTCAAACATAATAGAGAACAAATGTAATGTCTGTGTCCCTGTAAAACTGAATACTGTCTTTAATCTACATGGTATGCAAGGATAACTACATGGCCTCACTTGACACAAGTATCAAAGGTAATAATACCTTAGGCTTCTCTTGCATTATAGTTCAACAAACTATTATAGTTCTATAAGCCTCTACAAACTATTTTAAAACTTATATTAATGGCCCTGTACCTGGTAATACATGTGAACATTGTCTATTTCTTTATTTAGGAGATGAAACACCTAATATACAGGAGTAATGGTAAGTAGTGGTAAACTTCTGGTCTCATAATTAACAGGTTGTGGGTTTAAATCCCTGCTGCAGACACTGCTGTTGTACCTTGAGTGAGGAACCTGCATTTTAACCAAGTAGCTCCAGTCCACCCAGTTTGAGGAAATGACGACCAGTATCCCTGTGATGGACCAGTGTCCGATCTGGGGGGGAGTCACATGCTGGAATTGACTATTTCAACTATAGATTCTAGGATCTATTCCAGCAGAATGACTGCTGTACCACTCTAAATGATATAACATTTGTGCTTTGAGGTTTATGGCTCAATAATTTTTCTGAATGCATGTTAGTTTGGAACAAGGTGTCATATGAATATCTTTATAAATTCACAGAAAACAGGAGCCTTGCATGGTCAGTACATTAGAGTAAGAAAATTATTCAAGTTAATCCCGTAGATTGCTAAGGCATGTACGACTGTATCCTAGAAAAATTTGCTTTGTGATTTAGATCTATAAAATTGCAGCAGCAATCAGGACAAGATGAGACGAATGCAGATTTCAAAACCTATGTTTTATTCCAGTAGACAGCTGAACAAAATATAAAATTAAAACTTGCCAATATTTGTGCTTTATAATAAGCTACTGTACTGAGTACAATAAAAGCAGGGGTGATATTCAGATCCTGAAGAAAGCATATTTTTCCACTATATTCCGCCCAGAATAAATGTGCATCTTTCCCTAATGATGAAAGATGTTTAATCTTTTCTTACCAGACTTTGATTACAAAAGGTTCACGTGATACCACTGATTACCTTTTGATTTTTTTTTTCTTTTTTCTAAAGCAGTTCTTTTTTATTTGGAATTTTCCAACATCATGAGTTTATATTTATTTTCATACTAGTGACAGCTCCTCAATGTGGAAGACTAGGTTTGTGTCATACATGTAAGAATCTGTTCTTAAAATGCAAGAGTAGAGCTTTTGGCTTGTCAATTTTCTAACAGTGAGATAAATGTACTGCATTTATAAAGTCAGAAAGATGTCTGCAAAGAAGAAAAAACTGCTAGCCTCTGTTTTTCTGTACCGCTTGTCATTTAATCAGAACACACTGGTGTCATGGCCCTAGGTTGGGGTTTGTTTGTTTGTTTGTTTTTTCTTTTCCCTTTCTTTTTTTCTCTACACCAGGTTTGTGTTTCGATCCATAGTTCATTTGGTGATGGTTAATTGGACCATCCGCCATTCCATAATTTATCCAAACTTCTTCTTAAAGAAAAAAAACAACAAATAATACAAAGTATCTTTAGAAAGGGAGGTTCCCACCACCCCTTCACTGCTAAAAAATGCTCATACTGCTGCACAACAAACTATTGCAAGATCTCCTTCATCATTCCTTCCCAGACTATTTTTCCGGAGTATTTAATACAGGTCAAAATACTTAATTCATCCCCAGGTGGGCAATTTAAGAGTAAGACGTACACAACTTCTTTCCTCTGACACTTAATATATAAAACAACCCAGATTCAGCCCAAGTAAGAATGTCCATTAATGTTTGAGATTCCATTTGGCGGCCTCTAGTGGCAAGCTATGGCTAGTACAGTTTTTCCAAAGACCACACACCCTTGCCACATTTATTAAAAGGCCACGTCAAATGTACATCCACGGTTTAAGACTGCTTAAAAAACAACAACAAACTCTTAGACTTCAGAAACTGTGTAGAAAGTATTTTATTTCAACATTTCATAACCATACTCACCACAGAAGAGATGACCACAATTGGTTTCAACAGGCAGAGAGGCCTGCTGTAAACATACTGGACAGGACATGTCGGTGTAGAATTGGTGCCGGGACTCTGCACCAGCATCCTAAAAAGACATTACACGGTAACGGAAGGGGCTTGTGGCATTTGACAAAAAACAACTGGCAACATTTGTTGATACAATATGAAAAAGGCAAATTCGTTAAAACTGTATAGAATAGCATTTAGGAAAAAAACAAACAAGATGAAGAATTGTAACACAGAGCTGTGATTGGTTAGCTTATAAGAAAACCTTTTTTACATCTGAAACAAAAAAGATTATTCTTCATGTAGAATTTTGATTTTTAAAAGCATCTCCAAAGGCAGAGTCATATAGATTAAAGCCATCATAAATTTACAGAGACAGAAAATAATTTGGAATTGACAGACAACCATTTTTAAAACCCTAGTTAAAACATTATCTTGTGAATCATTTTTTATATTATTGAAATATCCAATTCACAATAAATTTTGCATTACTGCGATACAAGGCCATACGTGCTTTCTTCTAAAAGACAGAGCATTCTAAAATGCTGGATCATTCACAGCAAACCAATCTTTTTAGCCAATAGTCCACCACAGCCTGGAGAATACAACTTAATCTGCATTCAAAACGAGCGACTTCACAGACCCACATTTTTTAAAATTGTTCCTTATTTGAAAACAAAAGTAATACAAAATAATTTTAAATACTTTAATAAATCTTGCACACCCTTCAAATAAATTGTATATTCAAGAAAAAACTGTAGGCAAGACAGTTATGTCAGTTCTCTAAGGCAAAAACCATCAGATTCTTTCAGCAGTTTTAGACTTGTTTCCATTACAAGTCACTCTGACACGAAACAAATGTCTCGTGTAGCTCTGACTGGAGTCTGTCCTCCAGAGAGAAGCGCTTGTCTCTGTGAATACATGTTGTGAAGGTTCTGTACCTGCTCTGACTGAAGTTGCTGTCTAATGGCTCTCACACGTTCTTGGTTCTCAGGATGGATGTTTTGTTGCTCAGTCCTGCTAAAAAAGAAGGTTGCGTCAGACATATATGAACAAATACAGCTTACAAATCTTCTGTTTTCATACAGCGTGCTTCACAAGTACTGGGACACAAAGTCAAAATGGCTATTTTGTCTGTATACTCAAGCAATTCGGATTTGAGATTAAAAGATGAATATGTGGCAAAAGCACACAACATCACCTTTTATTTCTGGGTACTGCTGTGCTTTTATTGTGTACCATTTTAGAAAAATAGCACCTTTTGTGTTCAAATTCTCCAAGCGGGCATAAGTAGTGGCACAAAATAACTTTAAATTAAAAGTAGTATAAAACTTTGGTTGTAAATCCTCTGCACACGCAAAAAGTCAATAGAACACCAAATCATTCAAATACAGTAAGAAAGTGTCACAAAGGCAAGAATATTGACATTTGCCAATGGCAATGAGTCATGATTAATTTGAAGGCATATGTATTTGTCAATGTAAATATTAAATGAATGACTGAAAATCAAATTACCTGTAGTATACTAAGTACTCTGATATGCCAGAAACAAGAATTACCAGGATCAGTGCAACATAATTCTTTAATAAAATTGCATGTGTATTTGTCATAGAACACTCCCAAACAACCACTAAATAATCAATACTGACACTGTTTTTACAGCATGTTACAGCAAAGTTCATATACTGTTTACATGCACATGATAAAAAATGCCCATATATACTGTACTACCAGATACACATCAAATGAGGAAAACTCAAAACCAAATGCTTAGTGTACTGTACATTCCTCAATCACTTTACTGTACAAAAGTATAATACACCATTTTAACAAAAAAAGATCTTGTGACTAAAAGCAGCTTTGTGAAAACAATTGAGACTAACCTCTGCATGTTTTACAGTATGTCCATTACTTTTTCCTCCAAGCAAGTATGGTCTTCTACTTGACTACTTTATAGTTAATCTATATTCTGGTAAAGGGAAACTATTCATACAAACTTCTTATGACTTGACAAAGACCTTCTAAATTACTTAATTTCCAATAGGAATACATTTCTAAACAAACCAATGTTTTGTAATTGTTTCCCAACAAAACAGAGATATATTTACAGACTACTAAAATAGCAGCAAACAACAAAGGGAAGAAATTATACAAGACAACGGAATTCTAAGTTATACGTTGTGGAACTTTAGAAAAAGTAAATACTGTAGGTACAAAGTAGAGTGAAATAATTTGTCACAGAAATAGACACTGTCGGCTCAAAAGATCAAATACTTAGAAGGCATAAAACAACTCAAACTTTCTACAGAAGTGGAAAGCCAAGAAGATTATTTCTAAGTGCCTGAATAAGATTTTTTTGAGAAAATACACCACAATCAATAGCTGGAGGATCTGAAGAAGATGAAGATTCTGGAATTATTTTATATGACTAGGCTGAGAAATTATTTAAATAATGAACTGGTTCTACTGTGAGAATGCCTTAAGACAAGTGGTTTAAAATGTGCAAAAATTCATTATTTTTGGATTCACCACAAGCTTTTTTAAAATTATTTTTCATCCAAAGTAAGAGAACTGTTTTTCCAGCAAATGAAAAGGGAAGTATGATGCGACTGGGACTTTCTTTCACAATGCAGGATTTGGAGATATCTGCTGTAGTCAGGATTTCCTTAAATCCGACGACAAAACAAAACTACAATTCCATAAACTCATAGGCCAGTAAATTACAATTGCTGATTCTAACCTGACAATGTCCCTAAACAGATGGAAACAACTGAATTTTCAAAGCAATACAAAATACAATACAAAATAGTTCCAACCACTTTTCTAAATTACTAGACTCCAGGAAACCAAATACAATTGAGACCTTAGCAAAGACGCAACAATGCTGTAACAATCCTTTGTTTATTCACCCGTCAACTCTAATTAAAATTGTTTTCTCATCAATTAAACCTTAATTTTTAAATATAATAAACTACCTTTAATTTCTTAATAGATATATGCAGTAAGGGTAATATTTACTTTTAGAATTAACAATACTACTTGCCTATTAAAAATGGAAACTACTGTTTCTGATTTTTTAAATCAATCTTTGTAACTGTGCATATATATAACTCTCTGTAACCATTGCATAGTGGTCTTGTTGTTAATAAGTATTTTTAAGACTTGCCTGAGTTTGGACCGGTTTAATTATGTTAGAGCTGTGCCGCAGAATAAAAGATCACACACCTGGAGTAACACTTTATTTCCTGCCCTATTCTGTAACAATACAAAAACACAATGTACAGTGTATGTTTTAAAAACAATTTATGTATATTACAAGACACTAAAATCCATTTTGCAATAATACATGACAGCATATAAATATAATATTAATCACTGCCATGTTGGTAATTAAGATATGTTGATTTATCTTAATATAATATTTGACTCAAGAGCATTGCTTGTATTTTTATTAAAATATATCCATTATCTTTCTAGATATAATTTTTAATAAGATTTATTTAAGTATTACATTGATGAGTTCCAACAGATTTATATTGGGTCAGAATACATTTTACTATGACTGAACCACATTTAGGAAAATTGTAAAAGATATAATTATGAGTATTATCTTTGTTACTCTCAATAATCATTACACAATTTTAATTAATTATTTATTTGGAGGAACAGTCATCAAGGTAACAGATGAGAAACTAGCAAGGGTTTATAAAAATCTATCAATTTAAATAGTGCTCAGAACCTTCAATTTTCTGTGCATATTATTCTTATTCATTTCTCTATGGAAGCTCTTGCAGGAGGACACAAACCCACCTTGAAATCAATTTAAATTGATAAAAATCCAAAATATTCCACACACAATCATGCTAAAACAGCATTGTGGATCCTGTACTTTTGACAGCACACAGTGACTTTATCAACCCCATTACCCTTGCTCTATGAGAACGTTGCCAAACTGTTAAGCTTTTTCTTTCTTTGCTCAATGTCCATCCCTCAGTCTTTTCTCACGGCTCACATCCTTTTTCTCCAGACGTGCTGCCGCCTATATTCCCACAGTGTGGGTGCTGACTAATGAAAATGTCCTTACTTGTCCAGTGTGATCTTATCGGAGAACATGTTCAGCAATACACCAAGCAAATCGCCTTGTGGTTCTTGTTCACCTCACAGAAATGGTTGAAGGCATTTGCTTCACAGTGCCTTTAGTTTCGTTTAAGTATCAGGGCTCATTCAGACAGAATGTATTAGCATCAAGCACACAGTGTGTGGAATGGAACATGTTAGTGGTTGAACAGTAGTAAACATTGCAGGAAAAATATTACTGTACAGTCACAGAATACATTCCAGAAATCTCGGAATCTCCGATATGAATGACATCTATTGCAATCCTTACCTGTACAGCAAAGTTGCAAGTCCACCCAGAAATGTAAAGCTGAGGACAACTGCTGCAAGAACCTGGTTGCTGATGCCTTCTATAAGAGAGTCGTCATCCTGTCTGGAGTTCCCAGTAGCCCACTGGATTTCTTCCATTCCACCCTATACTAACGTGCTTTTCTAGGAAATGAGAAAAGAAAACACAATGTTATATGTAAAAATGTATTAAACCGTTTCATGCACAGGTTAGGTTGTGCTTCAAATATCCACATGTGAGTGTTTTGTAAGGTGATTTCTTTATGAACCTATCCCAAAATACAAAAACTTGCCAAAGACCATTAATTTCACACTGTTATCAGAACAAATTCAATATTCAATATACAATAATGAGAGATGTGGTTATCCAGGAGCAAAAAATATATGGTTTTTGATACTAAACTTGAGACTATTAAAGATATTACACTGTGTTGGTCATTATTTATATGATAAATCTATAAATCAATTATCACTACAATAGTCCCCTCAGTAAACACACAAGATACAGATTATTTTAGAAAATTCCAGTTTAAGGTATATTTAAAGCTTGTAATGATTACGTTAAGCACTTCCTGAAAGTCTTTATGTAAACTTCCCAGATTTAATTATGCACAATCCAAAAGCTATATTGTAGTACTACAATTGTAGTAGTTCTCTTGTAGTGTTATTTCACTCTAAAAAGTGACATTACGTTAAGCAATGATGTTTTAATTTATTGCGTTCAACAAAAGATGGCCTTGTGTACGTGAATACATATTGCATGGTCTGTCTTGTGTACATACTGATCATTGTATGACTGTGGAGGCTTTGTTTTCAATATAGATAGATATATGTCAGGAAAAGACTGCTAAAAAAAACGAGCTTAGATAAGTTCTCTCAATTTAGACAGGTACAGATGCAAAGACAGATGATAGAAGACTGGGAAATTCCCACAAGAATAGTGAGAATTAGAAATGTTGGAGTTTGTGAGAATATAGTATCTTCTCTTCAGTCTAGAGTAATACCTCAGGCCAAACGGGTTGCAGACTAATGGTCTCCATTACCTCCTTCTGCCTTTAGATGAACAAGTTAATGAGCAGACCTGACCCACAATAGCTTTGACCGGGACTGTGGAGAAACTGCCACAAATCATCAAGTTCTGGCCATCACCCAGCATAGCAGCATTGGGAAAATAGTGTACTTGAAATTCCTACAGAATTGGAACTTCTCAGAGTATCTGCTGTGGTGTTGCCTTTGCGGTACATTTAAAAATGATTTTCCTCTTCCTCTGCTACAACATATTCTCTGGCAACTAGATCCTAACTTTGAGCAGCAGAAAAAAAAATGTCAAGGATGTATTTGATCAATCCGGAGACCATTAATGGCCTAAATTGCTGTGTAGTTGAAAACAACTTCCTACATTTTTAAATGACCTCAAATTGAGATCACACTGATAAAGATTTGCTGTATCACAAATTATAGTAATCAGGTTATAGGCTGTGAAACCTTTTTTATTTATTGTTTTGTCACTTTGACTTTGACTTGGGAAGCCCTGTTTGACAGAATACTGTATATGTCAACCTAACTTCTCTTGTCAAAATATCACTACAGAACACTATTAGAAAAGTAAACAATAACAACCACAGGCTTTCAGATCATCTTTGAATAAAATCCATTTTATCTTCAAGTGACAAAGTTCCACTTTTAAACCAGCAATTTAAACACACAGATGGTAACAGCAGCTCTTTATTGGCTTGGCAAAGCAAATCAGCACTTGGAAGTTAAGTCATGTCAACCCCTGCATTAACTTTTGAAAAAAACTGCAGACAGACTTTTGGGATTAAGAAAGCCAGTTTCCCCTGACTAAATGGACCATGCATCACTTACTCTTCCGTAGACAAGAAGTTTGTTTTGGTTAAGGTACTTAGAGACATGGCTCCCATTAGTGCACCCAAGTGAAAAAAATCCTTTTTTTTTAGTAAAGGAAACCCTATTATTTCACTGTATTTAACAAGCAAGGGAGAACGATTTTTACACAAGGAAAAATATGTATTATCACAGATATCAGAGATTAATCACAGATACTGTATCTATGTGAACTACTTAATTGCAGACCATGGCCACTTTCAGACATTTGCTAGCATTTCACTAACAGTTAACAGCTTAGTGCATACAAATACATTATAGCAGTCTACGTGGAGGTTTAAAGTTAAGAAAGCGTAGCTTAAAAAGTTTACTGAAATATAGTTTAGACAAAAAATCCTTAAGCATATCACTTTCAATAACCACTTATCCAAATCAGTGCCTATCCTGTGAAGCACTGAGCACAAGGTGAGATACACCCAGGATGGGACAATCCATCACAGAGCACACACAGATGGCACAACTGTTGCAAAAGATAATTGTCCTACTGTACCAGCATGTCTTTGGGCTGTGGGAGGAAAGCAGAGAACCCCTGAGAACATACAGACTCCATGCAGACAGCACCCCAGGTCTGGAACTGAACCAGGGCCCCAGCGCTGCCAATTACTGAGCCATCATGCCCCCAAAATTGTTAATATACTGTATATACACACAGACAGATGAAATGCATTTTCTTTGGAGAAGGTTGATATTAATTCAACTGAAGATACACCTGAGATTTGTAGATATCTGGCTCTGGTCTGGGGTCATTGACCTGGTCTCCTGACCTGGCTTTAGAGACTTTTAGAACAGACATCTGCTGTTGTATGTGACACAACAGAAATAACTGAAAGGTGGGACAACATCATCAAGAACAGCCATGGGACCATCAGGAGACTTAAAGACTTAAAACACCAGCAGCCATATCACTCTGCAACTCACAACTGGCAACCCACTGAACCTAAGCAGGTGTGAGCCTGGTCAGTACCTGGATAGGAGACCTCCTGGGAAAAACTAAGGTCCCTGCTGGAAGAGGTGTTAATTGGGCCAGCAGGGGGTGTGCACCCTGCGGTCCATGTGGGTCCTAACGCCCCAGTATAGTGAAGGGGAAACTATACCGTAAACAGGCGCCGTCCTTCAGATAACATGTAAAACCGAGGTCCTGACTCTCTGTGGTCATTAAAAATCCCAGGGCATTTCTTGAAAAGAGTAGGGGTGTAACCCCGTTGTCCTAGCCAAAATTCCCAATGCCCCTTACCAATCATGGCCTCCTAATAATCCCCATCTATGAATTGACTTCATTACTCTGCTCTCCTCAACATTGACAGCTGGTGTGTGGGGAGCATTCTGGCATACTATGGCAGCATACCAGGTGGATGCTGCACATTGGTGGTGGTGGAGGGGAGTCCCCATTACCTGTAAAGCGCTTTGAGTGGATTGTCCAGAAAAGCGCTATATAAGTGTAATTTATTATTATTATTATTATTAAACCCCCATTCATGGTCATAACATGGCTGAACTGAGACGATAAAAACCTCTGTAATGCTGTTGTAAATTGGGGTACTGTGGTAATACACCTTGTGTGTGTTTCCTGTAGTGTTCTGTGGAAGTGGCCATTTTTGTTACAATTAAACCCATCTCAAACCTTCACTGGACTGCGCTGTGACTGCTTGTCTCCCTATAGATTTTACTGGCATTTACTGGCCAACTAAAACAATCAAATTGTCACTCCAAATGTTTGGCCGAAAGGAGCACACATTTCCAAGACATCCTTCACTTTTCGTTTGTTTACAAACGATTCATACAGCCTTTCGATTCATCTGCTCATCAAGGTCTTCTACAAAATAATCAGCTTTTCTGCTTTTTTAAATGACCTTTTTCTGTCTTGGCTAATTTTCTTCACACAAACATCGGACACAACACTTTCTCTATCTGTTTATTGTGCTTTTTATTCTACAACACAAAACACTAACCTTCCTTCCTTCAATCTATGTCTCAAAATACTCTTCCTTGGGATAGGTAAGTATAAATGTATTGTCATGAATTGACACTTTCTTTCTCAGAGCTATGGTAACACACTATGTTTTAAAGAAAGAACATCTGACATACAGCCAATCTTTTTCTTTCTTGTCTCAATTAGTTACGTTTTGAAAATCTGTCCTATTACATTAAAGTACAGTCTACTATTAAGGTTTTCTAATCTCATTTTAATAGTCGCTACTGTATTTAATGCGGTATTCACAAAGACTTCATGATTGTATGACCTATTATATATGTATATATTTGTCCTGATTCTTCGAAATTTGTATTTTATAATACTTTAAGTGTTTTATGAACAATGCTGTATAAAACAAAGTGTATTCATTTTCTTAATATAAAACATGAATAAAAGGGCATCTCCATAATTTTGATCATCAGTGGATGTACGGATGTGAGTTTGCACTTTCACTGCTGCAGATGTATATGTTGAGACCCCATGAATGTTGTTTCCTAAATCATACTTGTCAATCCGTCTTTTAAACAAAAAATATGCATTTAATCATTACATGCAGGAGGGGGGCAGCTGCAGGTTTTTAAGGCTGCTAAATTCTACAGCACTTGAAGAATTTCGAAAATCTGTTCAACTGCTGCAATCAAGGCAATTAATTAAAAGAGGACCCAAAGTCCTCTAGGACAGGGTTTGACAACACCTAAAAAAGCAATAGGGTATCAACACCATCGACATCTCTACAGCTGTTACATCAAGCCATACAATGCATACCACATACTTTATGCATTAAATACTGAAAGTGAAGTGTTACAAATTAAGTTCGATACTTTTTGATAACACATTTATCTCACATTAGCGACTGTATAACTACCTACTCGAAGACGTCAGAGCAATTGTAAGATGCTGTCACGTAAATGTGGAAACGATTTCTTAACGTCGTCAAGCTTTCATTCTTAATTTTTTAATGAACGAATTCGAGCTTTGCAACATTTTCCAGCACGGTTATTTTCGCTTTAAAACGAATGACGTGTTTAATCTGTAATTTACACAAAGTGCTGACATTGCAAACGCTTTCCATGTTACCTATCCTTCACAGCAATAATCTTGTTCTCTTTACCTGCTTCGTGTTATCCATTGGTGTTAAGACTTCCGCATGAGTTTTAGATGCACTCACGCAGAGGGCTTTTCCGTGTCACAGACCCTGTGTAGGCTGTCTCTGATACTGCCAGAGTAATAGTATTTTTTCCCTCCGGGTAGAGTAAAGAAAGTAAAGGCGATAGGACATTAAATATTATATAACCGAAAATAAAGGCACGTTAAGGACAAAGAGATGTTTCTGCTTTATTTCCCGGTGATGCTTTGGAACAGGCAAGGGCTGCCCAGAGGGTGCTGGGTGGCAGCTGTAGGACCCCGCCTGACTAGGAGAGAGACAGGGAGAGGAGAGAAGCCGGTGGGCTGGTTGTTCGTGTCTCTCTGTTTCAGTCTATAATAACTAATTCTCTTTTTTATCGACGTTTTAGGGGGTTAGAACAAAGAGCCGCATCTGGACTGGGGGGTGAAAAGGTCCCGTGAATATTGTTTTTTTTTTATCTGACCTGGATACCGTGATTCAGTCAAACGACTAGTGATTTTTCTTAATAATACTCAAGTATCGCGTTATATACCCTGTATATTTGTGGATTAGCGGTGAACTACAATGAATACGCTGGAGTCGGTGGATCGGGTCGAATTGTGCGAGAGCCTCTTGACGTGGGTGAGTTTTTTTTTGTCCTTTTTGGGATTATTTTCTCCCCTGTCGCCTCAGCTCGTCCAGTCATGTAGTTAGTTTCTGCCCTAACTGTACTACTCCAAAGTTTCCCAGCCTTACGAGATCTCGTTTGCCTGTTCGCTGTTCAGAAGTGGAAAATCCGGCACGTTATTCGTTTGCCAGCGTTTTTTTTAAATATAATCCTGAGGTTTTCGGGGGAAAAAAACCGGCGCTTTTTAAATTACGTTATCTTGTCTCATCGGTAATGCACTAGAGTCCCTGTACGCCGCGGCCGGCCTGATTTCCTGTTTTACAGTTTCTTATGTTGGTCTGTCTCTCAGTAGTGACTTTTTGCTCAAGACTCTTCTTGGCGAATAGAACCTATTCCGGGATAATAAACTACAGCGGACGGGGTGCTGTAATGTATACCTAGTCAGTTCTACATTATGCGCATTGTCTGGGTTGACTCACT